CTTCAATTTTCTTCCAAGGCACAAAGAGCTGCTTAGGAATAAAACTCATCTTCGGACCTCAAAAGTCTGAGGGCTTCAAAATTCCTCTAAACACATAACGAGCAGCAAAGAGGAATAAAATTCATCTTCGGATCCCAAAAGACCTTCTCTCACTTCTGGATCTTCGGACCCACGAGTCTGAAGACCTTCTCTCACTTCTGAATCTTCGGACCCACGAGTCTGAAGACCTTCTCTCACTTTTGAATCTTCGAACTCACGAGTCCGAAGACCTTCTCCCAATTTTGAATCTTCGGACCCACGAGTTTGAAGACCTTATCCCACTTTTGAATCTTCGGACCCACGAGTCCGAAGACCTTCTCTCAATTTTGAATCTTCAGACCCACGAGTCTGAAGACCTTATCCCACTTCTGAATCTTAGGACCCACGATTTCGAAGGCTTTCTCTCACTTTTTAATCTTCGGACCCACGAGTCCGAAGAGCTCCTCTTAGGCATGAAGCCTAGGAACCACAAGCCTCAGACCCCAAGTCCGAATGTATCAATGTAAATACAAGCCTCGGACCTCAAGAGTCCGAGGGCATCAATAAAATTCCTCTAAGGCAAAGGAAGAAGCTGGGGAAATACAAGCCTCGGACCTTTAGAGTGCGGGGGCATCAATAAAATTCCTCTTAGGTGAATACAGAAGCCGATGAACTATAAACTTCAGATCCCCAGAGAGACCTTCTCTCACTTTTGAAATCTTCGGACCCACGAATTCCGAAGACTTTCTCTCACTTTTGAATCTTCGGACCCACGAGTCCTAAGAGTTCCTCTTTTAGGCATGAAGCCTAGGAACCACAAGTCTTGGACCCCAAGAGTCTGAATACAAGCCTCGGACCTTAAGAGTTCGAAGGCATCAATAAAATACCTCGGATCTTAAGAGTCCGAAGACAACAAAAATTCCTCAGGCGCATGGCCAAGGAACCTTAAGCCTCGGACATTTTTGGTTTACTACAATTACCATTACAATTTATTAGCTACAATTAATTCCCTCTAGTTATGGTTGTCACATCAAACAACAGGGAATTGAGGGCAAAGTGTGGGGGCAAAAATCTCCCCTTCCAATTAAAACAGGACACGTCAACCCATAAGGGGACCATCACAAATATTGAGAATATTCAACTTTCATATTGGGCTTCTACAAGAAGCTTGGGCCGGGTCAACTAATCATAATGGGCTGAACTCATTAAGAAGGCCCGAAGTGATGAGACCCCGAGCCCAGGTACGAGTATATTACTAAACCCATTTTAGTAATAGTTTTATTAGAAGAAGAATTATATTTTATGGAAACCAAATAATGTAAATCCTTGTTATAAGGAAAGAATGATGTAATTCAAATTCTTAAGGGACAAGCCATGCGAGTCCTAAAAAGAATCCATTAAGGTTTTTCCTATATAAAAAGGGCTGAGAACCCTCAATAGGGGGAGACAGAAAAAAAAAAAGGGTAAGGTCCCCAAAAAATAGAGATCCAATTCTCATCGCCAGAACTACGTTTCGACCTGATTCCCACGCTCCATGCGGGATACGTAGGCAATCTAGGTATTCCTAGGTTCGGTCGTATCATCAAAATACCCCCCATCTCTATACAAATTCTCTAGTTCGTTGTTTTTTCTCTATTATTATTTTGGGTGTAGTAATTGTAGAGAATTCGTTGACTTGTCAAAGTTGAACGAATTTTTGCACTTACAAACACAAATGCATATTAGTGATATCAATTAATAATTTTCGTTTTAAATATTTATCTACAATACGAAAACATTTTTATAGTCAAATATTCCTTTATACTATCACTATGGGAAATAATAATTCGCATAACCATAATACTTAACTTATTCATTCCATTATGAAAAGTTAGTCCTATTGAGAATCAAAACAGATGTACAATGTGAATTAAAGGATGTAACAAAGAAACTTAATTAGATGAAATGCTCAAAACAATAATGCTTTGAGTTAACAACACGTATGTATAACTTAAAAATATAAATACAATGTATAACTATAATACCTTTTTGGGTTGCAACTATAAAATACTAATAATGATACTTAAATGTATTTATATGTATATCTTCATTGGTGATGCATTATTTAGTTAAACAAATAAGTTATCTTTGAATATCCTATATTTACCTAATTAAGAAAATACATACAATCCCTTAATTTTTATTTAATCACTTGAAAATTAATTCCCTTTAAAGAATTATTTCTCATAATTAAATAAATTCAATGTTCATGAATACCATAAAAAATCATAAGCATCATAATTCATAAAATATTGCAATTACGTCTACCACTAAAATTAATATTCAACAACCATTATGGTTAGGCCACTTTGGTAGCTACCAACCTTTACATAATATAAATATTAAATTAGATAGTGACTAATTCATCTTTAATTGTATTTACTAATAAAATTAATATTCATCAATCATTATGGTTAGGCCACTTTGGTAATTACTAACCCTCATAAACATAAATATTAAATTAGCTAGTTACTAATTCATTTAACATTATGCACACATACTTATACTGATTGATCCAAATTTAAATTGGTTCGATCCCAGAAATTTAATAGTCCAAAAAATTCAATAAAAATATCCTTTTATTTTATATACATAATAAAATATATATATTATTTTTATTTTCAGACTTGAATATCATAATTGAATCAATTTAAAATTGGCTCTCCATCATGTATGTTTGTATGACTACAAAAATAATAAAATAAATAAATACACAAACTTTATGTATTTAAGAATTTAAATTTCTAGACTCACAAATTATTTTAGAAATTTAAATTTCTTTAATAAAATAGATAAATACACAAACTTTATGTATTTAATAATTTATATCTTCCAATCACAGTGAGTTTCTTTCAAAAACGTAATAATCAAAATTTTATTACAACCTTTTTATTCCCATATGTTGTGAAAATCAAGAACCAAACACGTCATTATTTTACTTGATTGCCTATATCAACATACTTGAAATATAATAAGCCCACAACATATTCATATGTACGACAATTCTCCAACAATACCACAAGATGAATCAAAACAAATTATTTATATGTATCCATATGTATGGTGATTAGTGGGTTCTTAAGATATATTTAACTTCTAAGTGAAGTTCACTTTCACCCAAATCAAATTTGTTTGGTGCTGCACAAACAGATCAACATGATAGTAGTAAAATACACTATTATTTTTTTCTTTCGGATCACAAATCAATGTTTTCAAATACCCATCACACTAATCAAAATCACACCAATCAAAATACACACACACACACACACACACACACACACACACACACACATATATATGTCGATTCTATAAGAAAATTAAATTATACAAATATTTAATTTTTCTTTATATTTACACATTATTTTTATAAAGGAAAATAATGAGTTTCTAAACCTTAAGCTATGATACCACATGTAAACTATAATTTATTCGTGCAAACTATTCATCACAAATAAACATGAATCCCAAATCTTAGAACTTCATTATTACCTATAATGCATAAATAAATATAGTTAGATATCAATACCTCGATCTATGATTACAAATATCATAGAGATCAAGTCCAACGTCGAGATCTTTTCTGCGGAACGAACAACGTGATAAATTACAATAGCCAAAGTGTGAAAATTGATTTCTCTCTCTTGACCTTTTGCACACATAAACTTTATACGTGTTGTTTTCATTAGTGTACATAACTGATGGGAATATGCACCTTTATAAAGGCAGAGAGATGACCAGTTTTCCTTTTAGTAACTTTAATTCTACTTTCCATAAAAGTAAGGAATAAATAGGAAAACACTACTCCAATAATTAATTATCAAAAAGATAATTTATAAGTTGACCAAATAATATAATATTAATCTAATATCTATTTTATTTAACCACCAAATAATAGAAGTAAACCACGTGTCTAAATCATGTGGGTCACAAATATAAGAAAATATCTAACAACCAAATTTAAATGAGAAATCATATTGTAGGAAAAAGGTATGGTAGGAAACTAGTATTATATGGAACAAGAAAACATAGAGAAAAACATATAACGGGAAATCAAAAGTGTATTACTTAAGTCAATTTATCAAATGTTTGTTGAACAACTCCATGTCCAGTTTGTTGCTCTGCAACTCATAAGTACTGGAAACATGCTCCTATAGCATTTAGTGAAAATAAAAGAAAATAAGTACAACAAAAAATCACACATTTAATTAATTTATAAAGTTTCAAAGTAAACCTTTGTGTCCTTTTGTTATCTAGTTGAAACTTTGGTCGTTTTGGCAACAGATTTTTATCTTCGTCGTTCAAGTGCACCCTTTAGTCGACTACGTAAGCGTCCAACTGTAGCTTTTCTTTTAACTCCTACGGCACACAATTGTTAGTTGGAGCTATCATTTCAACTTGCTTATTTCGACCAATTGAGCTTTCGCCACCACTTAAATTGTTCAAGTAAAGTTCTTTCTTCATTTCCTCCAAGTCATTAAGAAACACAAGAGCATGTTCGTTTGCATGTACATATAACTTCTCGTGTTTTGAAGCTAAAGATGAAATTTCACAAAAATTTTGACACAAATGACTGTAACGCTTTCCCACAGACACCGTAGGACTATCATTGGCTTCAATTCCATGATAATTAGTGATAGTCCTTGCCTTTGCATCTCTTGTCCATCGTTTCATGATATATTGGGATGCAATCTTTTTTATATTTTTCTTATCCAACGTTTTCAATGCATGAACACATAAAATTTCAATAAAATTGAAGTTCATGTAACTACAAATGACTGATTGTGGTGAGGCATCAAATTTAACCACATGCTCTCAAGATTTTCCAACACAAAACACTTTGTATTCAACTTTGTCCATTCCTTAGCCACTTTGTATATATTGTAATCATCTTTCGTCATGTACTCTTTTTGAAACAATTGGAAAACTTCTGAGGTATAAATTTATGCCCCATGATGTAATGTCTCCACACTATTTAATAACTTAGGCACAGTTTGCAGCATCTTGAAATCTGCATATAGTTCTTCATATCGCCGATCATTCAAAACCCTCTCATAATGCTCCAAGAAACACAAAAGATCAAGATTTGGCTTTAGGTAATTCTTTAACACATTGTTCATACTTTCACTAAGTTGGGTACTTTTCATGTTCGCAGTGAAAGTGTGCCGCCCATAAACCATAGCCCATTTTTCTCTTACATCAAATAACTCTTTCAACCGTTTATTCTCTTTGAGACTATATTTATCCAACATACTTTCCCATGCCAATAGCCACTCATCTTCATCTTCATAATCATACACACAGTTGCCAAGATCATGAGCAAATTGGCTTGTTGAATGAAATACATGACTCAAATTTTTCGCAGCATTTTGATAAATATGCCAAACACATAGTCGATGTTGAGATTCAGGAAAGACTTCTGATATTGCTTTTGCCATTGTAGCATATTGATCTGTGAGAATCATCTTAATCGGTTTTCCAGACATTGCACTAAGGAAAGTCTCAAACAACCACCTAAATGATTCAGTGGTTTCATCATAAAGTAAGGCTGCACCAAACATGACTGTTTGCTTATGATGATTTATCCCAATAAATGGTGCAAAAGGTCGACCATATTCATTTGTCCGATAAATAGTGTCAAAATACACCACATCTCCAAAAAGACCATAATCACTAAGTGAGCGCGAGTCAACCCAAAAAATATTAGTGATCATATCATCCACATCGAGCTGTAGTGAGTAAATGTATGATGAATCTTTTAGCTGCATATTGTGGAAATACTCCAATATAGCTCCAGCATCTCCTTTTTCCATTGCCATCTTTCGCTTTCTATATATGTAATTTCGGTAATCTTTAGCTAAAAAACCAAGATTCTCTCTCCCCCCAACTTCTCTGCTCATCAATTCCATAGTTGATTTTATTGGTAATCCAGACCTGTCTGCATCTTCAGCATGTGTTTTTTGAGCCTTAGAAATACTTCAATTAATCTTCAACATATGTTTCATGTGAGTTCTAACCAAGTCATGACTATGAATTTTATTCAATGACACAACCTTAAATTTTCCATTATTTTGAAGTAGGCATGTCATTTGAGCCTCACAACCAACTCTTGTAATAGCTTGATAGTAGTTAGGATTTTTGTTCGTGTTCTCTCTTCTTTTACCTTCTTTTGAACAACAAAAGGAAATCCTCGTGATGATCCTCACTCTATTTTTTCTGTGATGATTTTTCCTTACATCGAAACCAAGTTTACCACCATAGTTGAGGTAGAATTGGTATGGTCCCTCATCGGAACTAAACTCCATTCCATTTTCTGGTTCGACTTTTTTTGAGGAGCATTCATTGGGAGGAGAAGAACAATCATCTTCGATATCCACTTCACAATTATTCGATGGCTGACTGTTCAAACTTACATAATCCATCTCTTGAATTAGTTAGTAGTATATTTAAATAATGAGAAAGATTTGTGACTATTCAGAAGACAATTCTTTCAATGCTAGAGAACCCTTTATGTTTTTTTACTAATGAATGGATAAACAAAGAAATTCAATAAAATGCAAGGAATAAAATACAAGGAACTATGCTTATAGGTTTAAGACAGTACATTTGAATATAATTAATCCTAAACTATACAATACATTTTTCTTTTTCTTTTTCTTTTTCTTTTTTTATTACTCATTATTTTTGGAATAGGTAAGCAATGGAGACACAAGCACCAAGTGAAACCCCCAAGTCCACCAAAACAAACATATATGAACCAAAGCAGCACCCCAACTATCAGCAAAAATAAAAACTGAATTTAACTCAAGACTATAAGACAACAGGCCAACACAAAAAAATAATAATAATAATAAATAAATAAATAAATTATGAGAGAAACACAAGATGTCCACATTAATGGGAGATTCCATTTATTAATTTATTTTCCACATCAGTAATCTCTATTGACTGAACAACATCAACAAATTTTGACATTTTTCCTTTTTATGGAAATTGAACCTAAATAAGAATGAGAGCAAAAGAAACAAAATAGAAAGTTTGAAAGCCCAAAAAACTCAAAATTGAAACATAATTAAGCTCGATTTTGGCAAAGTTTGAACAAAATTTCTTACTCAATTTAAGCTATTAGAAAGAGAAAAAAGTGAAAAAAAAATTACACGGCCGAACAAATATAATATTTTAACATACCTGTTTCATGAAAATGAATCAATCCTTGGTAAGACCAAATTCGAAATTGAAATCCAATCTGAAGCGAAATGGTGGAGGTTGAATATTAGGTTTGGAATGATTGGCGGCTAAGAAAATAGAAAAATGCAAATGAAGATACACATATAGGAGCAAAGAGAGGAAAAAAATAGATTTATCGGGTTTAACCCTAAAAAATGGGTATAACCCATATTTTGTATTTTTTTTAAAATTTAAAAAAGGTGTCAATCTCTTATTGAGAGACGTTAATACGCAGGACACAATCTGTCTGATTGTGTCTTGATAAGACAGGACTGATGTATTATCCATACTGATTTTCCAATTATGATTCTATTTTTTTTTTTTTTTTTTTTTTTTTTTTTTGAACATTGACCTTTTCAAAATAAAAGTAGGACAGAACTACGTCATTTCCTTGTGGAGACGGGTGTTAGAGTTGGTCATGAGAAATCATATCAATGGGATGATTCTAATCCAATTTAGTTAAAGGTTTGGATATGATCATACTATATATTATCATCAAACAAAATTAAATAATAGAGCTATTCCTTTCACCATTGCCAGAAAATAAAATCAATTTACGTGAAATATATTCTTTTTATCACCCTTTGATTTCACTTTTTTTTTTTTCCTTTGGCTTTCTTAATTTGAAAATTTAGATATACAGCATATACTAATTAATAGAACCCATCAACCGTAGTTCAAATTTATTATTATTTTTAATTTATATTTCTCAATATTATAAGTCTCTCTCATACCAATCTTAGAGGAAACAATTTTCCTTCTTTTTTTTTTTTCCTTTTTTTTTTTTCCTGTTAAAAAAAACCGTCAAATTCTAACTACCTCTTATATACCCATAAATACAAGTCCATACAACTGTCTCTTCTTTGTATCATCTCTCTTTTCCTGTATAAGAAAAACTTGGCCGTGTAATTAATCACACCAGTTCACACCAATATCAACGACCACACACACATATATATATATACACACACGCATACATACAACTACAGTTCGCGCGGCATAGATCAAAGCTCTTTCTTCTTAATTGTGTGAGTCTCATGGGAAACAACGAAGAAAAAATAATCACTTCATTAAAAGATTGTCATGTAGAAGAAGAAGGAGATGAAAAGGGTTCGACTGCCGGAACGGGGTCGTTTCTTCCATTGATACAAGAGCTTGCTTTGTCAGAACAAGAAGTTAAGGAGTCCAGAACTACAGAAACTGAATGGTCTCGGAGGCTGACAGAGATAGAGGAGATCATAGAGTACAGTTTTAATGACAAAAGCTTATTACAACAAGCTTTCACACATCGTTCGTATATATATAATGAAGAAGAAGAAAGTTGTTCATCCTACGAACGACTCGAGTTCTTGGGTGACGGCGTGCTCAATCTTCTCATCACCAAAGAGCACTACTTCCTGTATCCCGATCTACCGCCGGGAACGTTGACCCGCCTCCGTTCGGTCAATGTCGACTCGGAGAAGCTCACACGTGCCGCAGTCAAACATGGGCTTCACAATTATTTACGTCACAATAAACCTCTACTTAACGGACAAGTAAGTCCTAATCTATATATATATAAATATATATATATTTCATGTTTAAGAAAAGAACAACACAGTTCAACTTGATTTAGTTTGACTAAATATCATAAATTTGTTCAGATTCGCGACTTCATGAAAGCGATTCCGGATTATCCTCTGCATTCCAATGGCTTGATTGATGCACCAAAAGTGGTTGCTGATATTGTTGAATCCACATTAGGGGCCGTCTTCGTTGACAGCAATTCGTCTTTGGATGTTACATGGAAGGTTTTTTTTCTTGCACAGTCTCTATTGCCTCTCTTAAAAAGCAATTTAGAATCCCATATATGCAACGGCTAAATTTTAATTTATGTAAACTTTTTTGCATGTACAGAAATACCATGTTATGGAATAAATATTGTATGTATTTGTGTATCGATCTCTAGTAGTTTCATTTAAATATGTTAAAGTATTGATTTGTAATTAAGTGACCACATTAATGTGATTGTTAGTCACTCAAAATCTTTTTTTTTTGGTAATTCATATATGTTTGGTATTTGTTTATATGTTTGGTATTTGTTTATTTTTAAGCGTTTTGTTTTTGGCCAAAACAGAAACAGTAGGAGTATTTTGAAAAAAAATTTGAAGCCCGGTTGGGAACAATGTTTGTTATAGTTTTGTGGCATGAATAGTTGTCAAAATAAATAAATAAAAAATAAGGCCGCACCAGGCCTTATAGAATTACGCTATTAAAACTTGATGTTGTCTTATATTTTTGTATTGTAGGTGGCCAAGAGTTTGCTGAAACCTAAAATCACACCAGAACAACTGCAGCTACATCCTGTTACGAGGCTAAACGAGCTATGTCAGAAGAGTAGATGTGAAAAGCAATTTGTAGATCTATGGAAGGAGTCCGGAGCTATTGAGGTTTTCGTAAATAATGAATTTTTAGGAAAAGGAATATATTGCCCCAAGAGGTTAATCGCGAAAAACAGAGCAGCAAACAATGCATATAACGAAATCGTAAGAAAGTTAAATGTGAAAGACAACGAAGAACAAGTGCTCAGTTCATTACAAGATTCGTATATACAAGAACAAGAAGATGAACAAGAAGCAAAGGAGCCGACTCCGATTATAGAAACGGAGTCAATTCCGAATCTGGCGGGAGTTGAGGAGATAATAGGGTACAGTTTCAATGACAAAACCTTGTTACAACAAGCTTTCACGCATCATTCATATGACCACCAAGAAAGTTGTTCACCCTAGGAACGACTAGAGTTTGTCGGCGACGCCATGCTGAATCTCCTTATCGCGAGAGAGCACTATTTCTTCTACCCTAATCTGCCGCCGGGAATGTTGACTCGCCTCCGTTCTGCTAATGTCAATACGGAGAAACTCGCACGCACGGCGGTCAACCATCAACTGCACTTTTATTTACGGCCCAGGAAACCCCTACTTGATGGGCAAGTAAGTCTAGATTTTTTTTTTTTTTTTTTTTTTTTTTAATACGACACAGGTATACTTATGCTTTTAAATTTCTTTCTTTAGGATTAATTAAAAAATTAAAAAAAGATCTATTTCAAATTTTTTTGTTTTTTTTTTTTTAATGATATTTGGTTTGTGAAATTAATACAATAAATTGTTCAGATTCGCGAATTCATGAATGCAATTTCGGATTATCCTCTGCATTCCAGTGGGTTGATTAAAGCACCAAAGGTCCTTGCTGATATCGTTGAATCCGTAATAGGGGCCGTTTTCGTTGACAGCAATTCCTCTTTGGATGCTACATGGAAGGTAAAACCCTTACACAATCACTATTGATTTAAATTTTGATATTTTATCCCACTTTGTTTGTTTGTTTTTTTTTTTTTGCATGCACATAATAAATACTAAATTAAAAAATAATTTAGTAACTGATAGACCATATTAGTCTATTTTATTTTATTTTATTTTTCGTAAGAACAATTTTCCTTTTAGATACCTATTTTACTTCTACACACAGGTTGGAAATTAATTGCTCAAGTCTCCCGGTCCTTTTTGTGCCAAAAAAAAAAAAAAAATTACAACTCTACATTCAGTCAATTGTTTGT